ACCCCAGGGATAGAACCTGACCTTGACCAGGAATTGAACCCATAACCCTTTGATCCACGGGCCCACATTCTAACCAGTGAGCCAAACTGGCCAGGGCCATTTTGGTTTCTTTAATAGATATTTGACTAGTCATATTTTCTATTGCATCTTACCTTAGTTTTGGTAATCATAGCTTTTAAAGATATTTATTTTATGCAAGTTATTGAATTTATTGGTATAAAGTTCATAATCCTTTCCTATTTAATGTCTGTGGTCTCTGTAGTTATACATCTCTTTATTCCTAATATTGGTAATTTGTTTTTTTCTGTTCTTAATCAATCTGCCTCCAGGTTTATTAACCTTGATTAGAAGTTTAGAACTTTTAGTCAAAACCGGTTTGGCCCAGTGGATAGACCATGGGCCTGCAGACTGAAAGGTCCCAGGTTCGATTCCAGTCAAGGGCATGTATACCTTGGTTGCGGGCACATCCCCAGTAGTGGGTGTGCAGGGGGCAGCTGATGGATGTTTCTCTTCCATTGATGTTTCTAACTCTCTATCCTTCTCTCTTCCTCTCTGTAAAAAATCAATAAAATATATTTTTTAAAAAGTTTAGAACTTTCAGCCCCACTTCCTAACCTCAGGGGAGAGAAGAGGAACTAGAAATTGAGGTCAGCCACTCATAGATAATGATTTAAACAATTAAGCTTATGTAATGAAACCTCCACAAAACAACTGGTTTCAAAGAGCTTCTTGATTGCTGAACACATTGAGGTGCTAGGAGGGTGGTGGCTCAGAGAGCTTCTTTCCCCCATTCCTTGTCCAATGCATCTCTTCGGTTTGACTTTATAATAACACAGGAAACATAAGTAAAGTACCTCCTGCGTTTTGGGAGTCATTCTAGCACATAACTGAGCCTAAGTAGGGCTCATGGAAACCTTGGATTTGTGGCCAGTTGGTCAGAAGTACAAGTGGCCACCTAGGATTTGTGATTGATTTCTGAAGTGGATGCAGTTTTGTGGGATTGAACCTGTGGGGTTTGTGCTAACTCCTGGAAGTTAGTGTCAGACTAAGAGTTGAATTGTAGGACACCCAGTTGTTATCTGCAGAGAATTGGGAGAATTATTTGGAATGGAAAACCCATATACATTTCACGTCAGAAGTTTTGTGAGTAAAGCCTGCTCAGACACCCTGTTCAATGTTGATAAGTGGTTAAAGCATCACATTAAAGGGTTCATTTCCCAGTCAGGACACATTGGTAGGAGGCAACCAATCAATGTATCTCTCACATTTCTGTCTCTCACTCTCTGTCTCTCTCTCCCTCCTCCTCCCCCTCCTCCTTTTCTCTTTCCCTCCCTTTCACTCTCTCTAAAAATCAATGGAAAAATATTCTCGGGTTAGGATTAAGAGGGGGAAAAACTGCTCAGACTATCCTGTCAGTCCCAGCTTAAAATTCTACCCAGGCTTCCCCTTGCACTTGAATTCATTACCATGATTTTTATAAAAGCCATCCATATCTATCCCCGCCTGGTCCTCCAAATAATAGCATCTGGTACCACTCATTTTCCTTTGGCTATTGCCTTTTCTTTCTCAAATATTCCAGTGCTTTTCAGCTGCAAGACCTTTGTACTTGTTGTTCCCTAAACAGAATGTTCTTTCTCAGTATCCTGGCATGCTGACTTTCTCTCATCCTCAGCATCGGCTAAGATGTTACCTCCTTAGGGAGGCCTGCCCAACTGTTATACTTAAAAGACCCTCTCCCCACCTACCTATCCACCCACCCTGTTAAGTTTCATCACCATCACCTTGTTTGTTCCTCTTTTTTTTTTTTTTTAATATGTTTTATTGACTTTTTACAGAGAGGAAGGGAGAGAGATAGGGAGCTATTATAGAAACGTCGATGAGAGAGAAACATCGACCAGCTGCTTCTTGCACACCCTCCACTGGGGATGTGCCCGCAACCAATATACATGCCCTTGACCGGAATTGAACCTGGGACCTTTCAGTGGTCAGACTGATGCTCTACCGCTGAGCCAAACCGGTTTCGGCTTGTTTATTCCTCTTAATGAGTTTTACCACTCTCTGATTATCTTGTATTGTTCAATCCTGATCTCTAGTACCTAGACTTGTGTCTGGCACATATTAAGTGCTCTATAAAATTCTGTTGAGTGACTATATGAGAAAACATTTACCCCCATTTTCAGAGGAATTCTTTCCTACCTTTGATTTTTATCAACTCACCTATATATAAACTGGTATGTAAATCCAGATAAAATCAACTCAAGACAAATAAAAATATTGGAATGTCCTCTTGATAAAGAAGCACTTGGGGACTGGAGTGACTCCAGCATGTGCTATAGCATCCTTTCAACTTGCACCTCTGAGGCATTACTCTGTGGCGGTCACACTTTCAGTGAGGCTTCTTCCCACCTTGTAGTGCACTGTTGATCCAGCTTACCTGGCTCACCTGCTTCCTTTTTCCATTCTTCTAATTAATGTGTGAATTTATTTATTTACTATTGTTCGTTACCCGTCTTCCACCCCTACCTCACCTTGGTGAGCTTCATGAGGGCACGGATCCTATTCTATCTATTCTGGTACTGAGTAGGTACTCAACCAATTGTCGAATGAATGAATGTTTTAGAGGAGAGAAAGGAATCTGGGAAGGGTATGAAGTCTCTCTTCCTCCAAATCATCCCAGATTAAGTTCACCCCCATTTTCGTACAGCTTATCTACTATAGGTAAAACCTCCATTAGGTATAAATGTTTACTAGTTTATTCATTCCTGAAAGGTTCAAGTGAGTGGTACTGGACAGGCTAAGTATAATAGTCTTCTCAGGGGGCAAATAGCGAAAAATTGAATTTATTTAAAGAAAAGGTGTTGGTTGATGGAGATAACCAAAGGGAAGTGGTACACAGCACTGAGCCAAATGGTATTGGGTCCATGACAGCAGCAAAAATATACTTAGGACAGTGAAGCAAGGAAGGTCATAAAAAAAAGCAACAGGAAAGCTTAGCCTGGGCTGCTTGGTCTCACTGAAAAGTCAGAGAAAAGGGGGCCTCAGAGACAGGGTCAGGGGGGTAGCCTGGGAGGAGATGCTGCTGTCCATTGCTCCCCCTGTTGCAAGTCTCATGGGCTCCCTTAGAGGTTAGGAGATGAGTGCCTGTGGGGGAAGAGAGGGATAGAAGACTGCCCACTGGGGCCTTTGTCCTGAGCACCTCTCTCTCTCTCTCTCTCTCTCTCTCTCTCTCTCTCTCTCTCTCTCTCTCAAATCTTAGGGGAAGTCTCAGGGAATATCTCAATAGAATATTCATCAGCTTTCCAGGTGTGCTCTTCAGGGTCCTGGTCTCCACTGTTTGGTCTGTGCCAGGGCAGGGGTCATTTCACAGTCAGTGAGCTGGTTCTGAGGTCAGCCATGGTGTCACTTGTCTGTTTTGCTACTTTTCTGGGCCTAGAGCTGAAATACAACGAAAGCCTATATGCTATGTTTAGGGAGGAAAAGGTCAGGGGGTCTAAACTTCATGACCAATGATATGCGAGGGGAAGATATGTTTCCTTGGAGCAAGGTTTTTGTTTTGCCCCTGGTTAGGCATTGGGCTTTCTGTTCTTGGCCCATGGTCCTTGCTTTGCTCACATCTGTCTGACAGTTCTCAGCATGGCTTTACTTATATATCTACACACCATCCTACGTGTGCCTGTTGATGTTCTGTATGTGAATCTTTTGTTCACTTTAGAGCTTGCATAGGAGAATTTATCGTAATGTTTATGACATCATGAGGGGATAAAATCTGATGAGGTTGAATTCCATCAAAGCCTATTTCCTCTATGAGCAGCCTATTTTTCCTGAAGAAAAGTCCAGGAGTTGTTTGAAAGCATGACGAATCTGACCATCAGGAAGGGACTGGGAGAAGAGCACAGAACTGAAAGTACCGTACCTTTTGCAGGGAGCGGCCACTTCAAAATCTTCCCAATTAGCAGCTATGTTTCTCTCTTAATTTCAAGTTTTCTTAGGATTACAAATTTAAAACATTCTGTTCTTGGTTATTTTTCACAAACCTATTGTCTTCATGGAAACCCCCCAATCCCTCAGAGGGAAATTTTTCTTTAAAAAATACAAATACAGTACACTATGTTCTTTTCTTTAAAATAACTATGGCGAGAGAAATCCCTCCCTTTTGGTTGAAGCCATGCTTTTAAGTTGCTTGGAGATAGTTACTAGTTTATTATGAATCATTATATAAATTTCTCTCTCTCTCTCATTTAAAACAAAAGACGAAAGAAGGGAATTTTCTCATTAATTATTTAAAATACTTGGTGCAACTGTTTCTTATGAATTAATCCAGACACTTGGAAGACAATTACACTCAGTGTTAATAACATTGCCAACCTTTTCCAGTATGCTGCACTCCAAATACTATTGTGCTTTCATCGACAACATTTACTATTACATATGCATATGAAAAACAGGAATTTTCATCAGAATTACCGTAATAGCATTAAGAGATTATTACTTTTTCCAATTTCTTTGGAAGGAAATTCACTTAAATTAGATTATTTATTACTTGACTGCTTTCCTATCTTGCCAGTATGTTTAGGTAACTGGAGCCCATGAAAGTATAAACTTCAGAATAAAAGCATGATTTTATGCATTAATGGTTTCAAATAAAAGAGGAGTGCTAGTTTGTGCATCACTTCTTTTGAGAAAGTTAAGTCTGTGTTCTGCTTAGGAGAGATAACACATTTTTTGTCCCTGTAGGTGGCCCCCCTGGTGTAGCCATTAGTTGCTAATTGCTTTGCAAACAAATAAACAATTAACTCCTCAAGCTGCTGACTGGGTGTTCATTGACTTGCTAAAACTTTCCAAGACAGGATTTTAATTAGTGACATTCTAAATCCAGCCCCCTTGTCAGCAGAGCCCTAACGTGACCTGCAGGAGGATCACTGCCCTGTACGTGTGGGGCAGAGCCAGCCAAGAGGTGCACAGAGAGGCCAGAGCTGCCGACCTGTGCAGCCCACGAAACCATGTCTCCTGGCCTTCAGGAGGGCGCTCGGCTTGGGGAAAGCAAACCCTCGTCCCGCTCCTTTTCCATTGAGAGCATTTTAGGACTGGACCAGAAGAAAGACGGCGGCGCTCCACCCATGAAACCCCACAGGCCCTGTGCAGACACCTGCAGCTCCTCAGGTATGCTTACTTTTTAAAACTCGTTCATTTCTTTTGCACTGTTTATTCTGGCCTTTAGTTTTATGTTACCTAGAGTTAAAAAGAAACTGCAGTTTCATCCAGTTACATAACTAGGTTTTTTAATATACCCAGCTGAGTCCTATTGGGAAATAAAAAGACTTACAGCCTTGAATCCAGTGGGTATAGAGGTCGCTCACAGGAAAGGCCAAGCACCTGCAGATCTCTGTGTTTATTTGACACATCGGATATTCTTTTTTCACTGAAAAATAAATGGCATTCAGAGACCTAAAGGTCCTCTGTCACCGACGAGGATCTTCATTTTTATTTGCTTTTTGCTTTTTGGTTGATGAGAGGTCAAGTCTCCTGTGAAACTCGGAAGAATATCACTAGAAAAATTAAAGTCAAGTTCTGAAATTCTTATAGAACTTTGTGGAATGTGGGATTGGACTTCTAAGAGGGTGTTTCTTTTTCTTTTTTTAGAGAAAGATGTTAACCTATGTCTACATGTCCCAAGCCTTCCAAATGGACTCTTATTCTCTTGTACTGTGGATCACCCAGTGCCAGAAGAAAGAGTTATGAAATATGAAAGTTATTTTTCAACCTCAGAAAGACTGTCTTTGAAAAGAGAGTTGAGTTGGTATAGAGGCAGACGACCAAGAACTGCTTTTACTCAAAACCAGGTAGGAAGTTTTTTCAACTAATAATAATGATACAAAGACTTTAATTGGCACCCTGTTGAGCAAAAGCCCATTCACTTTGGGATTTCAATTTAGGCCTTATTAATGAAACAACAGAATGTATCTTTTTAAAAACAATTTGTGGGTAATCATTTTATTTAAAAAAATAAAAGACATACGAAATAATAGTCCAAGATTTAAATGAAATTATTTTGCTATACAAATTAAAGTCCATTTTATAATGACATTCCAAGAAGCAACATTTTAAATAATTATTTCCTTATTCTTAGATTGAAGTGTTGGAAAATGTCTTTAGAGTAAACTGCTATCCTGGCATTGATATCAGAGAAGACTTAGCTCAAAAATTGAATCTAGAGGAAGACAGAATCCAGGTAATTTTCAAATTTAGTTGTTATTCCTGATTATTGAAAAGTTAAGAATAATGAAATAATGTTTCTGAGAGCTATTTTATTTCTTCTTAATTTTAGATATGGTTCCAAAATCGGCGTGCCAAACTGAGGAGGTCTCACAGAGAATCACAGTTTCTAATGGTGAAGAAAAACTTCAACACAAATCTCTTGGAATAGATAGAAAACTAAACTTGTGAAGTTATCTTCCAATTGCAGAACACAAAGAACCAGTGGATATACCAAGTTTTTAAAGTGTGATGTTTTATTTTCTGCATCTAATCTGAACCTTGTCACTTTCTGAAGATATATTGTAAATAGTTACTATATCATAGTACCTGTTATACTTAGGCACTTTTAAATATAATAAAGGCTTTTTCTATATATTTTAATAAACATTTTCAGAAACAGCCAGCTATTTTTTAAGTGAGCAAATTTAATGTAACAAATTAGTTTGCTAAAATCAGTAAACTCGTGACTAAGTGGCTCCACAAATTGAATTACTGTACATTTAAAAAGTAATCCAAGTAAAATCATCTGGAGAATGGCACAAAGGTGTGACTTGTTTCAATTAGTTTCCTTCAAATGCATTTTGATATGTGGTTATGTTTTGATAGATTACCAAATATGATTTATTCATAAATCTTATTTTCTCTTGATTTCTGGCATGAATCAATGAAAAATTTTCACCATATAGCAATATAATCCTTATAGAATGCCAGTTCCAGCTTTTTAAAAAGCACATTATACCAAAGTAGAAATATAAAAGTATCAGTTGTCATATTCAAACCATTGCACAAAAGAAATGAGCTGCAAATAAATGCAAATTTTTAAATATTTTTCTAATTCATATAATGCTGTACTTTAATTTTATTCCTTAAAGTGATAATGAACATCTGGCTTATATCTGTTCCTAGTGTAGTGATTCCAATCGGCTGTATATTTTGTTACAAGTAATATGTTGACTGAGAAGATGGGATAAGACCTGCCTTGAGTATGTACTCTGACATACTTGTTGGAAATAATCAGGGCACTTTCTGAGACAAACACTACGTATTTTCTTTGCATTTGCCATTGTATCTGTCAATTAAAGATGCAAATAGAATTAAATAGCATCCCAAGAAAGGAGTCTAACCACTGAAAATCTGGGCATTTGTTTTCCACTTAATTAATGGAAGGCCAAAGTGGGTGTTCTTTTTGAAATGTTAGCTTGAGGATTCTGACTTTGTCTCCTAAAAGCCTATTTCAACTTTGCC